GGAGAAAGAGATGAGGGTTTTTGCTCCCGTAATGATTTACAGGCTTGGAAACCCTATGCACGGTCACTATGAGTCAAAACAGACTCCAATAGCACGTAACCACCACCACCATGGGCAAAACACTGAAGAATGCAGAAAACATTAAAAGAAAATGGAAGGAATAGAGTCACAGTACAAAAAAGAAATGGTCGATGTTCAACTATCTCAAGAGGTTGCATTTGATCAAGACCCAGTGATACTGAAGGAAGTTGTCCAAGGTGCATTGAAGGTATTGGTAAAGAACAAAGCACTGGGAATTGATGAAATACAAATCAAAATCTTTCAACAAGCAGATGCAACACTGGAGGTACTCACTCATCTGTGCCAAGAAATTCGGAAGACAACTAACTACCTGGCTAACTGATTAGAAGAGATCTGTAGTTGTGCCCATTCCAAAGAAAGGTGACCCAACAGAATGTGGAAATCATTGGACAATATTATCACATGCTAACAGAATTTTGCTAAAGATAATACAAAAACGGTTGTAACCATACACTGACAGAGAATTTCTAAAGATTCAAGAGGGATTCAGAAGAGGGCATTGGAACCAGGGATATCATTGCTGACTTCAGATGGATTTTGATTGAAAATAGAAAATACCAGACAGGTGTTTACTTGCGCTTGACTGACTACGCAAAGACTTCTAATTGTGTGGGTCATGGCAAGCTACGGTGTTTAGGGATTGCATTAAGTGTTCGGAAATAATGCAGAAAACAAGTATTTCCAAACACTTAATTGTGCTTATAAGGAACCTGTATGTAGATCAAGAAGCAGTTGTTCGAACAGAACAAGGGAACACCAAATGGTTTAAAATTAGGAAAGGTGTGTGCCAGGGTTCTATTCTTTCACCATGTTTATTCAATCTGAGCTATAATCCAAGGAACTGAATATGAAGAAAAACATGGCATCAGGATTGGAGGAAGACACATTAACAACCTGTGATATGCAGATACAACCTTGCTTGCTGATAGCAAAGAGGACTTGAAATACTTACAAATGAAGATCAAAAACCACAGCTTCCAGTATGGGTTGCACCTCAATGTAAACAAAACAAAAATCCTCATCACTGGACCAATAAACAACATACATATAAATGGAGCAATGATTGAAGTTGTCAGACTTCATTTTGCTCAGATCAACCATCAACACTCATGGAAGCAGCAGTCAAGAAATCAAAACGAAGTATTACCTTAGGCAAGTCTGCTGCACCAGATCTCTTTAATGTGTTGAAGAGCAAAGATGTTGTCACTTTGAGGACTAAGGTGTGCCCAACCCTAGCATGGTATTTTCGCTCACATGCATGTGAAAGTTGAACAGTGAATAAGGAAGACCGTAGAAGAATTGATGCATTTGATTTATGGTGTTGGAGAATATTAAAGGTACCATGGACTGCCAGAAGAACAAATAAATGTGTCGGAAGAAGTACAGCCAGAATGGCAAGACTTTGTCTCTCATACTTTGGACACATTTTCAGGAGGGACCTGTCCTTCAAAAAGACACCATGCTTGTTAAAATGGAGGGTCAGAGAAAAAGAGGAAGACCCCCAATGAGATGGACTGGCACAGTGGCAACAGCAATGGGCTCAAACGTAGCAATGAATGTGAGGTTGGTATAGGACTGGGGAATGTTTTGTTCTGTTGTGCCTAGGGTCGAAAAGAGTTGGTACTGACTCAATGGCACCTAACACCAACAAGAATGGCAGAGGCAGAATAATCACATGGCTCCATTTATGACATGTCCAGAACAGGCAAATCTAATGACAACGATTGGAGGTGGGCAGGTGCTGGGGATTGGATTAAAGCAAAATTTCTCTTTGGAGCAATGAAAATGATCTTAAATCTGGTTGTGGTGATAGATGCACAATTCTAAAAAAACACAACCATACGCTTTAAGTAAGTGAATTGTATGATCTGTGAATGCTGTTTGATCCCATGTGTATCAGAGCTTCATTGGTCTTTTACTGGCCATCATTTTATGGAAGCAGATCTCCAGGGTTTTCTTCTGCAGTGCCACTGGGTAGCTTCAAAGTAGCCACCTTTTTGGTTAGTAGCCCAGCACAAACTGACACCCGGAGATCTTGTTTCCCAGTAAAGCTGTTTACACAAAACCAAAACCCATGAAACCTTGGGAGGCCTTAGGTCAGTGAGACATCTACCCACCATCTCCCTACTCCCCCAAAGATGGACACAAGGGCAGGGTCACACCTCACAGACTGTTGCAGGGTGTAGGGATGACACAATAAAATGGGCTCCTTTTCCCATCCCATTCTGTGACTTAAAGATGAAAGAGAGCCCTCCTTATAGCTGAAGTCTGTAGGTAAAGAAAGTCAATGTATGCAAAGAAATTAACCACCAGATGCTGGGGGTTGGAAAAAAAAGAGTCCTGAGAGGAACAAAAATGTTTGATAAAGGCAGGAGGTGCAAGAAAAAGCCATTTCTGGTCCCTCCTGGTGGGCAATGCTATCAGACATTAGCTTGACATCCCCAAAGGTAAAGGAACAACCTGGTCATTCATTTTCTGCCTGATGGCTTGTCTTCATCAGGTGTGAAGATGCTCAGGTGAGCACAGCAGGTTAAGTCACAAGGACAGCTGGGGATGTTGCGTGCCACCCTGGATGTCCCTGCCTCGAGATGTGAAACATGAGCAATCCACAGAAAGGCAAAAGGTGACTCCCAGGGGCGTTTCCAAAGGAATGCAAATCATTGAAATAAAGACACTGCTATGATTATAAAGATGTGAAAGTCTTTATTAACACTTAATAAAAACAGCATTTTTGGCATGATCTTTTTGTTTTAAAGCAAAGGAAGATCTAGAGTGTAATGAGAGATACTCAAGTTGTACTTACTCTGTTTTTCTATGGCGTTATCTCTTTGGAACATGGGCATACTAACTTAGGCAAAGGCTTACAGACAACAGCCACCACCCTGATGTTGAGTTAGAACTTCAAATCTAGCCACCCTCGTATTTGACAGAGGAAAAAAGCCACCCAGCTCTCCATTCTTGCCCTCCACTACACCGATTTCCTGGTGTCATTGACATGGGTGTTTTCCACATGAATTGTGTCAGTTTTGTGTGTTTTAAAACAGACAGTTGGCACATTCAGTTTCTGCTATCACTTATCCTATCCAAGTCATCAAGGTGCACTGGTAGTGTAGTGGGCTGCTCTAAGTCTGTAATGACTCAATAGCACACCATCAACCTAGTCATCTGAATGAAGTTGAAAATGGTGCGTTTCACATTGATTTAAGATGCTGTTAAGTGCCATAGTGTCTGGTCCGACTCATAGTGACCTTATATATAAGGTTTCTGAGGAGCAGCTGGTGGGTTTGAACTACTGACCTTGTGGTTCATAGTTAAGTGCTGATCCTACAGCGCCACACCAAAAGTCCTGATTAGGTAAAGAGGATCTTTAAGGATTGTGACAGTAGAGAGCAGCCAAGGTTTCACTGAACATCAGGGATCCAGAGGGACAAGGCTGAACGGCACATGGCCTCCATCAGAGCCTAGAGGTGTCTTCACTAGCGCCTAGAGGTATAACCACCTATGAGGAGTCTGTGTGGCTCAACAAAAAAATTTTTTTATTTTGCTTTTATGGCGTCATCTGTACTACTCTTTGTGAAGTGTCGTCAAGTCAGTCCCAACTCACAGCAGTTCTGTACAGGGTTTCCAGGGAGAGGCTGGTGCATCTGAACCACAGCGCTTACCCTACAGCACAATACCAGAGCTCTTGCTGATTCACTCTTTCTGTTCCGTGCCATCAAGGCGATTCCCACACATGGCGACCCTATGTAGAAGTTCATCAATGGGTTTGAGCTACCAACTTAGTGATTCTCAGTCCAGTGCTGATGTCACAGCGCCACACCAGGCTCAGAAGTGAGGCTGAACCAGTTTAATTCCCAGCATACAACACTCAACTTCTTTATACCTCAACCTGCTCACCTATAACACGGGGGTGGGTGACAGCAGGTTGCTATGAACACTGGAACACATGATGTCCATCAAGCCTTTCCCAAGGCACCCAGAGTGTGATGAACAGTACTAGCTAGGATAATTCCTGCAGATCAATACAAAGTCTGATCTTCAAAATAGAATTTTTATGAATAAAAAGTTGAGTAAAACAGCACTTACATGCAGAATTCAGTGGACAATATCAAACACGAATCCACAGTTCTCGAGATGTGGTGTTAAATCAGATCCAAGAGGCTCTGTACTACCAGATTTCTCATAGCCATGATGCGCTGATGTGCAACGCGGAGCTTTCCCAATGCTTCTGTGGTGGGAACTCTTGCTTTGTGGAGCATTTCATGGGCTTGTGCTCCAGGCACACTACTGGGAAATGCTACCCTGGACATTTGTAGCTAGCGAGACCCTGGAAGGAGGGATCTGAGGCCTGGCCCACCCATTCACAGGCACACGAATTGCACCTCTCTAGATAGCCACCAGCTCACAAGGGTAGAAACCCTGGGAAGGGTTGGGGAGGGAGACAAAGGCAGTGGGGTAAGCAGACGGACCTCCCCTTCAGCCAGAGAACCTGTGATTCTGGGCTAACTAAACCAAAAGTCCCCTAAGGAGCATGGGGTCAGAATGAGGGCAAGATGACACGATGACCTGGCACTACTGTGCAGACTCTTGGGACAAGGCCCCACAGCACCAGGGAGGGCTGCAGTGGTTCTGGCGCGGTGGGCAGCCACTACTCAGCACTACCAGGAGAGACACAGAAATGAACGACAGCCAGCAGAGTTGTAAAGCAGGAACCGTGCAGCACAAGGGCACTGGGGAAGAAGACAGGTATCCCGGAGAATTCTTTCAGGAGCAGTTGATGGGTTCACCTGCACAACAGGCACCTCATGAAGCAATCTTCCCGCGGGACCCCCTCCCCCCCTTCTTCAGGAGAATCACCAATCCCACCGGCCCCAAGGACCTGCTGCCCCCACAATCAATGACTCTGAAGGCAGCGTTAGTTCTTCTCAAACAGTTTAATAGCAAATAAACAAAGAAAGGTACCACACTTGGCAGATACAAAATGACTTTTTGTCCGTGTGTCTGTGCAATTAAAACAGATTTAGGTTTCCCACTGGGACAAAAGGAAAAACACACAAAAAAGGAAGGCGATTCCTTCTAAACACATACTCCCTTGCTCCAAACTTGTAACATTTTTTTTTAAATCCACTACACAAACTCTGTGATCAAGTCAGAAAAGCGACAAAGGCTCTTCTTGCCTTTTTTTTTTTTTAAAAAAACCATTAAAGTAAAATCCATAATTTTCTACAGAGTACAACACAAGTTCACACAAAAAAGACATTTTTTTTTTTTTTTTTTTCAAATCAAAACAGGAGAGAAAGGAAAAGCTCAAACAAGGTAAGGAAAAGCGTTTCTACAGCTGAGTCACGACTGAGCTGATTGAATCCCGTTGGTGCTGCTGCAGAACAGACTGTGCGTTTGGTCATAGTGGCAAATTGTTTTTTCTCTTCACATTGTGAAATCACTTTACATTGTTTTCTAGTAGAAAAGGCAAAAAACTGTACAAAACCCCTAGTGTTAAATACAACGTTTGTACCAATAAAAAACTCACACAGGTTTGTCTTCAAAATGTAAAGTTTCTTTTTTTTTTCTTTTTTTTTTTTTCTTTTTAAATTATTCACAAAAAGCAGCTGGAAATCAGAAAGGCAGCTGCCGCTCCAGGGTCTCAAATCCATTAAAACCACCACAGAACAATTAAAACAATCAGAAAAGGAAAAGGAACAGTGTCCAACGTTTGGCATTTGGTTTTATCCACAGGTTTTCCCAGAGCTCCTCTTGGAATTGAAAGCAAAATAGATTGGCAAACACGGATTCTCAATACACAGGAAGGGGGGCCTCAGCGCCTTCTGCCAACAGAGGCGGCTCTGTGCAATCAGACTGTGGGGTGCACAGCAGTCTCACTAGGGCTGGGGATGCTGGTCTTTTTCCATCCCATCACCCCGCTGGGAAACTGAGCAGCCTACCATAGCCTGGACCTCCATGTGGCAGCCCTTCTCCTCAAGTCAAGGGTGGCCGCCAGCATTGTCCTAGGCAACCTGCTTGTCCCAGAGCAGAAATTCTGCCAGGACCCCTTTTTCCTTCACCAATCCCAGGAAGAAGGTGCTAAACAGTATTCTACCTTCCCCACCCCAACTCCTCCACTACAACTCTCCATCCTTCCCTGGACAATCAATCAGGGCAGCTTACTTTCTAGTTCTCCCACCAACCAACAGCTTAGGGCTCGGTGGGACCAATCATTAGCTCCTACCTCTCAACCTCTCACCTCCACAGATCCATCAGGGTCTCTCAGCTCCTCTGCCCTCTCCACCCCTGCCCTTCTTATTCTTACTCAAGTCCCCAAGACTTTGAGGCTGGACAGTATCGTAAGAACCCAGGAGCTGGCTTGCCTGGCCCCAGGGACAGTAGCTATTTGGCTCTTCACCTAATTAAAACACCAAATCCCTGCCCTTACCCCACACCTCTAGCCATTCCAGAGCAGAGCCAGCCATGATGAAGTGCCAAGTGGGGTGTCTGGGGCCCAGGGCTGTAAACAGTGTAAAGACTGTAATATTGTGCTTGTCACCGAGGAAAAGCACCAGCAGGTGGACTGCCGCTTAGCGCCCAGCTACAAGTGGTTACGAGCGCCCTCCTTCCTCTGGGCTGAGGGGTGCTCACACCCCTAATGTGCTAAGCTTCTTTTCCACCCTCAGCCACCTTCTGGGTTACCCTCTCTGTGCCCCCTCACAGCCAGCCTCCTGGAGGCCACATGGAGTGACAGTCTAAGTGCACAGGCAAACACTCTAAGGGCAACAGAGGAGAATGCTGCCACCTCAAAATAAAACAATACAATCTTGGGGGGTGATAAACCCTACAACAATTTAAAACAGCTTCTTTGAAACCCCTTTAAACGGGTCAGTTTTTGCACAAACTATAGAAAACAGAGAGGTGAAGGTGATAGATACGAAGGTGTGAAGAAACAGCAGGAAACATGCAAATCCTGTTTTTTCTGGGCATAATCTTAGTAGGAAAGGAAAAACTCAAAACAAGAACACAAAACCAAAACCAAAAAGAAAAAAAGAAAAAAAAATTAAAATAAACCAAAGCATCACATTTTGCTGTGGAGACTGTAGGGACGAGCATGGAAGGGGCGCAGGCGGGGAAGGGGCAAGAGGGGCCTGAAGGCTCCCCCTTGGGAAGAACTACAAAGAAAAAGCAATTGGGCCAGGTGGGGGCCCAAACTGCAGCCTGAGGGTCAAAAAGGACAGGAGGGAGTTCAGGTGTTTTCTGCAGCTGAGAACTCAGAAAAACAGAACCCAGAACAACACATGCGGTCCCCTCAAGCCCCACAAACTCTATCAGCAAAATGTGCTCAGGAGCCTCAAAGGTTTTAGTGACATCTTTTATTTCATTGTTGACTTCAAAGTTGTCTTTAAAACTAAGCACACAGAGAAAGGAAGCCTAGAAACGGACTGGCTGTGGGTTCACAGAAATACAAACACCACGCGGTATGTGCTAGCAGGGCTGCTCTGAAGACAGTTACAAAGAATTGGAATCACAAAATCAAGTGGTTATCTTATGAAGTTCTAGAAAAATAGATTTTTTTTTTTTAATATTCAAATGCAAGTTTAAATATTTCCCCTTCAGCAGTCGTTCTAGCAAAACCAATTTGGCAGCACAAAAGGGAAAAAAAAAACAAAAAACAAAAACAAAAGAAAGAAAAAACAAAGAAAAGAAACAAACATAATAAAAATACACGTCAGCATCAAAGGTCAACACAAGGTCAAAGGTGAGAGTTCAAGCATCAGAGAAGCTGAAGAGACAGGGATTTGGACGATGTACTTGACGCCACATCGACATGCTTTAGGCACAACGATGAACAAACGGCAGGAATCTAGAAAAAAAAACAAACCAGAAAGAGGGAGACCCACTGAGTTACACAGAGCAATACATCCAAACAGAGAGAAAGAGAACAGGACAATCACTGTGTGGACAGCCCTGAATGAGGAGGTGGGGTGGGGCACTGGTAATGACAGGGAACTTTGCACATGCTAACAATGGACACAGGGAAAAGTCAAAAAAGGACATGGAGGACATCAAGAAAACATCCAACTGCCAGAGACAGACGGAACCTAAGGCTTGGATTTCCCCTAGAAGCTCCCAAATACTGAAAAGAAGGCTGAGGGAAGCCCAGCTCCAGCCTCCCCCAACTCCCTGGTCAAGACCCAGGCTGTAATCAGAAGAAGCTAGTTAGGCTAGGGTGGGAGGCAGCCAGGATTTCTCCGCAACTCTATGGGGCTGGCTCTTTGTTCTTACAAATCCAAGCTCCTAGCTTCCCCATAGGCCCTGCCACACTTGTGGAACCCAGGAGACCGTGATCTAACTGCATTCAGTTCAAATTAATTTCATGATGTGACCCAAGGAAGAAACAAAGACTACAGCAGGACACACATTGTACGTGAAAACCCCACACAACAGAAGAGGACTGCTAAGACTTGACTGCAAGTCTCCAATCTCTGAGCTGAGCCCTTTCACACCATGAGACTTGGAGGGGAATAGCTTCTTCACAAGACCATCTTTGGCCTGGGGAAAGAACTGTGCTCCAGGCCAATGTTGCTGCTGTGCTAACTCACTGGACAGGGACCGGGAGGACAGACAAGTGCGTAGTCTAATCAGCTGGCTGCTTTAGCAGCCCAGGACCCTGCTGTGGCGCATGCTCCTTTTAGAAAAGAGCATGCACAAGGAGGTATGAAACCTCAGATCTGCTATCAAAAGTAGGTTGATTGCACTTTTGTCTAGTCATCGGGAAAGGCGTTTCATAAGGACCCAGAGCGCAAGACAAAGCCATGGGCAAATACTGGTGAGATGGGAAGGGGGAGTGAGTGGCAATGGAGGGGGCTCTGGGCTCTGGATAAGGAGGGAACAGAAGGTTAGCAGTCATAGCATGGCCGCACCCTGGGAAGCACAGCTCTCTCCGCCGCCAATTCACAGCATTAACTCCTTTTCCCTGCTGGCGGACAAGCTGGGCTGCAAACGGGCCACAGAAAGTCAGTAGTTTCAATCATACACTGTGTGTACAACAATCACATTCTGGATTCTATAAAATCCTGGCCTTTTCCAGAGATATAATTTAGGTAATAAATATTCTCCACCCCGGAGCTGTATAAAACTTCTATAAAAATAGAAACGACATTCTTGGTTCCAGCCGGTTGGGATTCAGAACAGCGCTTCCCCAACCTAGCATTTTTTTTCTTTTTTTGCATTTATTTAAAAAATCCCATCATGCCCCTGGAAGCCTTTGGAACAGTTTTATCCTTTGAAACACAGGACACATTTCTCCCAGTGTGCAGAATTCAAGTTTACGTGGTTCAGCTTAAAAAGCGTACGGTTAGTGTGTCTTAGAGAACAACAGACCCAAGGTATCACTATGAGAAGGGAATAGCTGTCCCAGCTTCAATGGGGGGAAAATCCAATACCACCAACTACCTACACAACAGCAATATGGCCAATCCCTGTCTGTTACCCAAACGGACAGTGTGACAAGGAGAGGCCCCATCTGACTTAACAGGGAACCAACCCCTTTATTTTGATCTCTGTTGCTAAGGTAAGGATTGATGTTTGTGAGGTTTAAGACTCCAGGGATCCAGTCCCTGTTCTTGGCTAAGTCCTATCCTAACAGGACTATCTGTGTCCAGGTAGGTATTCCCAACATGTCCTTCCTGGCTCTCCACCCCCCACAGCATTTCTTGGAGCAGAGGAAGAGCCCAGAAGCTGTGTGGGTCACAGGCTAAGGCAGGAGCAAGGCCTGTGGGAGACAGTAGGGAGCTAACTGTAAGCACAAGGACAAAAACGAACATGGCAATACTGAGGTAAATGAACACTAAATCCATATGGAGGCTGTAAATGTCCTATTGTTTCCCTTTGTCTTCAAAAGCAGAAGGGCTGAAGTGGTCAGGAGAGGGACCTGCCAAGACTCTATGGGGATATGACATCTGGGACATCTTAAGTCAGGAGGCAAGTGCAGATTGCTTAGACTTTTTAAAATATAAGTGCTGGACACTGGGGCTTGCAGGCCCTGGGCTTGAAGGGACCTGCTGACTCCGGTATACCAAGAAGCAGGCTTTTGGTTACGCTGCCCTCCCTTCATTGAGACGGTGCAAGCCCTTCTGGTATCCACTCTTATGGAAACAACAACAACAAAATGGTGGCTCAGGAGGGAAGCGATGCTTCTTGAAGCTGTATAGTATCTTCCCTAAGGGCCTCCCTTAGAGGGACTTGTGAGCCAAGCTCTACAACTTGGGTGTCGAAACAAAAAGACCAAAAAGGACCTCTTACAGACTGCTTTTCCCAAGCAGTCAGTGGCCAGGCAGGGCCAATCTGATATCAATGGCTGGCTGGGAAAACAGGTAATGGGTGAGGTCTTGCTCCTTTTTGCATTATGTCAGGTGAATTGACAGATGCTTTATTCCCAGAGAATTGCTAGCCCCTTCTTGGGAAAGAGGGGCAGAAACCCTAGACAATACTCTGCAAAGTAGGTGGCAAAAACTCGGTGTTTCCACTGCAAGCAGCTGTGGGGGTTGCTCAGCCTCCAACTTGAAAGACCGACTGGTGGGTGTCAGTTATTTCCACAGCTCCTGGGGGTCAGTTCTCATTTCATCAACCCTCATACCCAGGGAGATTCTGGGGGTCAGGGTTTTGTTCCACTTAGTGCTCTCTCTTGGGGTAGTAGTTTGGGTCAAGTTCTGATCTTCTTTTTAAATGTTTCCCCACTCCCCCTCTCCCCCGGCAGTTTGGTGTTGGTCCTTCTCAACACACTGGTTACAAACACAGCAAACTTTAAATAAAGGAAGGAGGGGAAAAAACAAAAACAAAAAACAACTCAGGATATGGCACCTAAACTCCAAAGTAAAACACTGGAAACCAAAGCACAAACTCGTCCTCTGTACGAAGCGACACTCCCACAGAAGGCCGTACCGAGTCTTCGGGGCAAGCTGTGCCTGCGAGAGTGGCAGGGATCAGGGTCCAGGGCTGTCAACACACAGCCTTAGGGCTTCGAATCATTAAGGGTGCTCCTCCCCCACTTACCAGAAGACCCTCTCACTCCAGTCTCAGAGGGGAGCACGCTCAGTAGGGCTTGCTGTCATTCTTCGACCGTTTGAGCTGCACTTTAAGCCGCTTCATGCCAATCTGAAAGCCGTTCATGGACTGGATGGCAGCTTGAGCCGAAACAGGATTGTCGTAACTTACAAAACCTGTGTGTCCAAGCAGAAGGCTAGGTGAGGGACCTAATGAGATACAGTGGTTTCGGCTCTTCTATGCAAGAGGCACCTTGTACATACACTTCATCTTGAACCTCAACTTTGCTCATTAGAGACAAGAACTCTGGAAATTCTATCACATAAAACAAAGCAGGTTCCTAATTAATAGACTGGACTGCAAGGTCAGTTTGAACGGAAAGGTCAGTGGTTCAAGCTCACCAGCCACTCCTTGCAAGCCCTATACAAGGTTGTTATGTGTTGGAACTGACTCCATAGCTCTTAACAACAACAGTACCACTGGACAGCTACATGGTTTTTACCAAGTCATTTTCTATGTATTTCTTTACCTTTGGAGCAACAGTTTGGGTAGAAACCATTTCCACCACAAAAGGCCCAAAGAGAGGTCATGTGATCTGTCTAAAGCCAAGGTAAACAATAACCCAAATTCAAATCCAGCTCTAACTACAATGAGTACTTTATTTTCCTCAGCGTAAAATACCTAATCCCACCCTGACACTAGAAGAGAAGCCAACATACCAAAACACTTGCTCAGGTTTGTCTGCTTGTCTATAAAAACCTTGGCAGACACGACATTCCCAAAGGGCATAAACATCTGCAGCAGGTCCTGATCTCCAAACTCCTGGGGCAAGTGGTAGATGAACAAGTTGGCTCCCTCTGGACCTTCAAGACAACCATTGATAAAAAAAGTATTAGCACCAAGCATGCTGTCTCCCTACATGTGTTCAACTGCCACTATCCCACCAAGCTCATTTAGGTAACTCAACAGATCCTCTAAGGGCAGGGAACTGAGGAGCAACTGCTGAACTATACCTCTGCAGTGGTATATTTAGCCACGAGCCCTCTTGAGGGCTCTTAAACTTCTATCTTGGGGGACAGTAAGGCAGGAGACTTGCAAGTGGAGCAATAAAATCAGAGACTAGGAACTCAGAGAGAAGCAAATAAGTTGTAAACAAAACAGACCTCAAAATTATGCCCAGAAACTAGAGGGACAACAAATAGGTTAGTTGTTCCAGAGGTAGAGGGTTGGAGCAGAAAAGACTACAAAGGGCAGGCGATTCTGTTCCTCTCCCCTATTGACACTTTCTCCTCAAACCACGTGCTCATGGTACATCCTCACTTCCTTCGGGTCTCGGACTGCTCTACAGAAAATGTAATTTGTCTAGCACTCCCAGTCTTTCATTCTTCAGAGCATTACCGGAGATCCATATGTTTTCACTTGCTGACTGTCTCTATAGTCTCCACTGAAAGGTGGGCTCTCTGAGGACAGAGCCCCCACCCCCACCTCCCTAGGGCACTGATGTATCCAATCAGAGCAGGTGAGGAGGAACTAGACCAGAACTCCTTGCTATCTTCTATGGCAAAAGAGAATAGCTACGTCTTTCCTACATTATAAACCCCCCTCCGAACTGAGCACACAGGTGTCAGCAGGGCTTTCTCCTCATACACCTGTCTGCCTGGAGAGCCTCTCCAAAGCATACACTTCCCACTTCATCAACCCAGGGACCATCACTCTTTCTGTCCTACCACCCATCACTGTGTCCTCAATTAGGAAAGCACAGGTCTGAAGGTGAGGGACATCTGGACAGATCTCTAAGAGACACAATCATATCCCATGGAGAAGACTTCTGCCCCAACCTGGGAGCACAGAGAGCACCATACCCAAAGAGCACTCCAAATGCAGAACACACCTAGGCAGTTTCTCAGTCTACACTGACCAACAAAGCGTGACCTGCCAGTCAGCTGTGGCCCAACTGGAGAATCCTCATCCACCAGCCCAGTCCCTGACTCCAGTCTCCCTCTGCACTCACCTTCCTTCTGGCTTCCAGCAGCACCAATACTCTGCTGCGTCAACAGATTCTGGTTGTAGAGTGTGGGGAGTGCTGCGGCTGCATACTGCTGGATCCCCGAGTAGGCCTGGGTGAGGGCCTCCATTGTGCTCCCGGTGCCATTGGAAAGGCCGCTGCTGCCCAGACCACCATTTAAAGCAGCCATCCCTTGTGTGGTGGGGAAGAGCAGAGTTAACATTCTAGAAAACACAACTGCTGCTAAAGACAGGTATACTAAGGGAACAAGCTAGAAAAGGAAAACCCCAAAGTTCTTCCTTCCATCACTTCCTTAGTTTATCTCCGAGGAGGAATACCCAATCTGACTCATCACCAGGCCTTGATACTAATAGGGACATTAGAAAATGCCACACTCAAGTATGGGTTTTCCCCATGACCTTCTCCAAACCTGTAGGAGCGGTAACACCACTTATTCACATGGGGTAGGAAAGGAGTAAAAGAAGAGTTCCAGGATTGAAGTTTAAAAGGGACATATGGTCCATGACAAGATGTGCACAAACACTATCATCCCAACAGCAACTATCATTTACTGAACTCACACCATGCACGCACTTCACCTACGTTCTCATTCAATTTTCATACTAACCCTCAGAAGTTATTATTATTTTTCAATTTCCACTTCACAGATGAGGACATGGCCTTGGAAAGTTGTCCTAAGTTACAGTTAGCTAAGGTGAGATTTCACTCTGATCTGACCTAAAAGTGCATCACATCACTATTTCTAATTTCATTGAGCCACCACCACCCCAATCATTCACCAGAATTGTTTAAAACCTGCCACTGCACAAGGAATGGCCTGATGACACCTAGAGGCTGCCCCTTACCTGCCAGAGAGCCGACATTGAGGCCAGCCGTTGCTCCAGCTAATGTCTGCAAGGCCCCAAGGGAGGCTATAGGGTTGACAGAGTTGCTGCTGCTGGAGCTAGGTGAGGACCCTGCTATTAGAAATTCAGTAGTTAAACTCAAGCCATCACTTGCCTTCTCTTGCCAGCAGGAATCAAAGCTCACATAACACCCAAGAGATTCTGTTATGAATTCTGACAACTGTCATGATGGGACATTTAAAAAAAGTGACAGTTAAAGCAAACCAAAAAATCAGATTTCTCTTGTCAGAAGATAACATTTGAAAATTTGCTAAATGGGTGTGTTAACTAGTGTCCAGAAAAACACATTCCTCTTTGGACTCTGCCCAAGATACCCAATGGCATGGGGGTCCCTGTGACAAGCTTACCTGAACTGGTGAGTACGCTGAGAGGACTGCTGGATGTAGTGAGAGCATTGGTACCACTTGGTGTGTTCTGAGCTGCGCTAGCTGCAGCAGCTAATGCTGCCAAATTCTGTAACTGCATTGCATTTAACCCTGCAACATCCAAAGCAAGACATCAGCCAGCAAATAAGGGTGCCTCCTATCTGCTGCCGCAATGACAGCACACTCTGGCAGAAGGCTGTTCCAGATGAAAAGGGCTTATTCTACATAAACACTTTACAAGCACTCCAGAGCTAATACAGGGCCCTAACAAGTTTTAGACATCATTCAACTCACTAAGAAGTTCTGGTATGGCACCACAGGATAAGCACTAGAATGCTAACCACAAGATTAGTAGTTCAAACCCACCAGCTGCTCCTCAGAAACTCTATACAAGGTCGCTATGAGTAGAAACTGACTCAACAGCACTTAACTACTCATTAAGTAATTTGACAATTTCCTCAGAGAAGAGAAGTCAAATCTTTATAGCAAACTATCCCAATTCAGCACTGATAAAGGGACAGGAATTAGGCAACCAAGAAAGTGGTGTGTGTTTGTGCCCTATCATGGGGTCAAGAGCCCAAGAGAACAACAATGCCAAAACCTGTGAATCAGAACAGGACAGTGTCCAAGCCCCTCAGTTGGGCTCTGTTAGGGGATTTGCCTTTTGCAATGGAGATCAACCAGCAGAAAAGGTAGCAGTGAGTGCTCTAGAAGATCAAGGGGAGAATGACATGGAAGGATGCTGTGAAAACAGCAACAGGAATAAAATAAAGTAAGAGGAAAGAGAAAACCTTGAATAGCAGATTCATGATCAGAAGGAGACAAGGGGAAACCTCCCCCCAGAAAACCTTGCAAAAAAGGCAGAAAGGGGGATGGGGGTGGGTGGGAAGAGTACACGGGAATAAAAAATTACAATATAGTGTCTACCTAAACCCCTTTGCAAAACCATAGCAAGCTATTATATAATTTCCTGGGACAAAGTATATTACTATCAAAAATTTCAAACAAAATGCAGTTGAGCTAAGATGACCCCTTTTCTCAATGCACTAGCAAAAGCCTATGTATCCCCTCTTTTCAGAAGATATATGGGCTATATTATTTTGGAATCGCCCCACTCCCTACCTCCTAATCCCCCATCAACCTTTCTGATAGCCCCTGGCTTGTTTGTGGAACCTGATTTTGCTAGAAACTCGGGTATTTGTAATTTGGGCTTTTCAGGCTTGTTAACCACTACTACCACAAAGAAAAGGGGGGATTCGCTTAGGAACTGTGTGTGTAAGAAGCAGAGAGAAGCTAGCTGCCTGAGTAAGCCACCTGCACAGAACTTTGGCGTATCCCCCACAAGGGTCACAAGAAAAGTGATTTTGTTGTGCAAATAAACAGTTCCTACATTTCCCCATGTTCTCTCAGATAGCCCATAGGTGCTATCTTTTCCATCCCAACAAAGACTTAAAGAGGTGATGGGAAAGAGATAGCCCCAAAACAATCTAGCATCAACTAAAGATAGGGGCATCCAATAGAGCCCAAGGCAGGTGGATCCTGGGGCACTCATCTTATGGTTTATGTGGTAAGTGAAAATGTCTTTTATTTGCATGAAGCGTACATGACACTGGCTCTGTTCCTTTTAAGGCAACATGCAGATGTTGCCTTAAACGTTCAGGTTTTTGTGAGCTGAGTCTGTTGGCCAGGCTGCTGCTGCTCCTCCACAGGAGCACAACACTTACCTCCCATTGGGTGGAGGCTGCTCAGGGTGTTGAGGTTCCCAGAGGAGGCAGTCTGCTGAAGGAGCTGCAAATAAAGCTAGACATTACACCAAAAAACAGAACAAGAGTGAGAGTGAGGGCTGGTTCTGCATCTGGGATAACTCTACAGCACAGCAAAGCGAGAGTGCAGAGGCCCCCAGAGAGAAGAGTGTCGAAGACAAGAACCCAAGCCAACACAACAGAAACATGAGGCGCATGACAGCACAGGACAATACAACACAAGAAACTCCCTGGCCCAGAAAACAGTATGTTCACTGAGTAGTGAGCCAAGCTCAAATCCTTGGGCAACAGAATGCAGCACAGCAAAGGGCAGAAGGAGAGCCGAGAACTAAGCCCAACTCAAGTAGTTGTGCAGTCAACTAGGACTTGTGTCTGCATATGGAGGGCCTGAGTTACGTCGACACACCGTACCATGCAGATCATTTCCACCTCAAACAATTATTTTAACATCAGAGCTCACCATCACTGGGTGTTTCTTAAGAGTCCCCGCTGACTGGTCTCAATGAACCCACAACTAGATTAATTCATTCCCATGCTACAACGTAGCCATCAAGTCCTGGCTTTCTCCTCCCTTAAAAATTGTTCGTCATTATTGCAGATGATCTAATTCACTATAAATTCTCTTTCAAAAGTTGTGGAATTACAAATAAAACAAGAGGTCTGTCCATGAGCTTACAAAGCTTAGCCACAGTCTTCATTATAATCAACTAAGACCTCTGTTTCATTCAAATCTAATTACTATTCCTTATGGCCAGTTGATGTTTATACTTCTGGATCCTTTATCCAACCTGTTGCCTGTTTCTATAAATACCTGACTGGCTACTCTGTCATCATGAATTCCTCAAGCCTAGAATTCAAGGATGGGTCTCAAGAGGTCTGCAAACCTCCAGAAATGGAATGAAAAAGGTACACACACACATTAATTTTTTTACCAGATTTTCTAAGGGATTCACAGCCCCACATAGATGAAAGCAGAACCACAGCTCTAGTCTAGTATTCAAGTTCAAGTCCACATATTCCAGAAAAGAACTTTATACTACCACTGACAATGCCTATCAGCGGCCACATACCGTATTTTTATACCTTGGACATACTACATGTGACACTTTCATTTCCTGCCTATATGTGAACCGCTTTGAAGACATCTGTAACTGAAACAAAGGCCAACGCTTTCAGCATACATCATCATGCCCTTGATGGAAGTGGCAATGACAAGAGAGGGAGTCGTCTCTTAAGAGGCTCCAAAATTCTCTAAGAAAACAAATGGCCATCGTGGAGATAGTTTTCAAAGCATTAGTATTTAGGTGGAAAACCAAACTTTTTCTGAACCTATATGCAATATTCTAGCAATTAGAAACAATTTATCTGTTAAACTTCTCAACCATCTAATCTACACTTCTTTGTACTAGCTCAGATAAACTGGAAATTCCTCTAATATTATAGAAATAGAAATGTGGGTGTCGAGAGGGTATCAAATTAGTCCAAGTTCAGTGCTAGATGACAGAAATTATAGTCTGTCTTATGTTTCTATGTAAGATAATATATTAAAGGATGAGGAATGGATGACTATACAAGTTACTCCAATGTGTGCTTTTGTGAACTATCCACATAAATTAAGTGGTTTCTCCACTGATTGCCAATACTGGTAACTTTGCAGATCTTTTCTTTCTGACTCACAGATGAAATGGTTTTAAATGTCTTGTGCTGGCTACAATTCTTCTAAAGATTAAAGCCATAGTAACCCCCTATAACATGCACCGGAGCCCTAGCAAATCTAAACAACAAACTGGAGCCTGACCCTCTTCTGGACAGTATGACTGAAACTCAACAAAAGAAAGACTCAATGAAAGGAAATCTTTGTATGATGAAGTCAGCTCCAATATACACTTGTAATATGCACTTAACAACGTCCACGTTAATTTCTTCATCTCTCAGTTAGTTGAAATAACCATTTCTCTGATCGTTAGGGGAGGAATTTTATCATGCCTCCTACACCTGATAGAAAGAGGTATGAAGAGAAACATCTGGTAATGAAAATTCCCTCAGTAATTTCTTGGTTACAAGCAGAGACACACTAGAAGCTCCTACGTCTTTAAATTCAGAATTTAGCATGACTGACAGGTTGTTGCACTGCCTGAATTTTGATGTAAAATGTCTATATGTCAAAAGTTCTAAATGCTACTGTGCTTGTTAGCTAGGGACAGCAGAAGAAGAAACAGCTGAGAGCTTGCATAGTCTGCACAAAGCAAACCACAAAGACTCACTGCTAAATACTGGGGTCCAAGAGTATTCAGACCAGCAAGGTTTCCCCACACAGACGCTGCGCTGATTTGCTGCATCTGCTGCTGAAGCTGCTGAGCCATTCTTTTCTGTTCTTTGTCCTTCTGTGTATCTGCAAATTTCACCACCATGGGCGATGAGCAACCCTAGGAGAACCCCAAAAATAAAGAGTCAAATTCCTCGTTGGTAATCCTGCTTCCTAGTGAAAATTCAAGTTTCATTCACTGTCAAATGAGTCTGCCCTCTGATGCATACAAATGACAAAAGGGCACATATTTTCATCTGGTTAGTTTTAAAGAAAGCATCGGGTTTCAACTTTTAGAATGATCTGTTTAACTTTAGGGCAATTTGATGCTGCACATGCTACTGAACTTTGATGTCCCCTGGCCTTGAATTCTCAGCCCAAGGGAACAGAACTCTTCCCTCATCTTCCTACCTCCATGGTCTGTGCTTGGTGCATCGCCTTGATAGCCGTCTGTGCCATGGCTCTTGTTGTAAAAGTCACAAATGCACAACCTGGTAAGAGAAGAATCAATAACTCATTCGTTTGCGTATTTAGCTTGTGGGGAGCAGCTTGAATGCAGGAAGCAGCTTGGCTTCTGCTGTTTGACACGGTTCCAGCAGAAAAGAGAGATATGCAAGGCTGATAGTTCTCAGAAGTTGCTTTCTATCTCTCTTTAGGGTAACTTTGAATTTACTTGTAAAAATATATAATATGGCCATATTCACAGCCTTTCACTATGAGTTCTACAAACCTTAGGAAAAACTAGTCTGGCAACAATTGTTTTCAGCTTCGGTGGATTGAATTCAAAGGAAATTGTATGTGCCACTCCCATTCACAGAAAAACTAAGAACAAAGTAACTGGCATTTATGAGATCACAAAAGCAGTTAAACTAAAGTGAAGCTGACCAATCCCTGTAGACCTCACCACAATCAATTACCAGCCATAATTCACAAACCCCCACTATTATATACAGGCACCTAGGTGAATAGGCAGAGAATAGTGAACATAAGTGAAAGGTGGTCAAAATTTAATACTCTACATTTCTTGCAGCAATTAGCCAGGTTGGGTCTTACGCCTCATAGCCTCAAAAGAAAAGAAATACAAGAACACTGTGGTTAAGCAATTTAATGAACACTTTTTTAGAAAACATAATTAAGTTGATGGTAGTAATACTTTTACTAAGAAAATAATAGCGTAGTATGTAGGACAGAAGATTGATAATCACCTAGTAGAAACAGTAAAGTAGCGTAAGCACTGATGATTAATAGAAACTTATATTACTAAGAGGATGCAATCAAGAGTCTGATAAGTGGCAATGATTTGTGTAAGGTTTAACTTGATCTTTTAGTGGGAATAAGAAGAAGCAATTTATCACTTACATAGGAGAGGAGATGATGTCAAAAGGAAAGTGCTCAGTGGATGAAAAATGAACAGGATATGGAAAGGTCAGTTTGGACATGACAGAAATACTTTTGTTAAGGTTGTATAATCACAGAGTTAAAAGGAATGTTGTGATTGAAACTGTGTAATAATTCATGGAAAAAAATCAAAGTATCAAATCATTATGTACTGTGTAATTTTAAGTATAAAAAATAAAGACTTGCTGAGCTGGGCCAGAAGAACAAGCAGACAGAGAAACAGAGCCTCTTCAGCCAACTAAACAGAGGCTTTCATTTTCACCGACTCCGCGTCTCCTCTCGTGTCCCTCAACCCTGCAAGAGCACTCACTCTGTGCCATGTACCAATCCAGTGACACATATATAGTCCTTGGCTCTAGGGGTTCATGAGCTAGTGAAAGAGATAGACATATTAAAAAGGGTGACAAGCGTGCTAACAAAAACTGAAAAATCAAGGACAGGGACTACCACTCATCTGTCAGTTTGTTGTACCATGGTGGCTTGCATGGTGCTATGAAGTCCTGGTGTGGTGCTGTAGGATAAATACTAGACAGCAAGGTCAATTTGAACTGCAAGGTCAGTAGTTCAAACACACCAGTCACTACTCAGAAACCCTATACAGGTTGGTCTCTATGAGTCAGAACCAACTTAATAGCACTTAATACCAACAATATGATGCTGGAAGCTATGCCACTGGAATTTTAACCACCAGCAGGGTACACCCAGGACTTCTGGTGTGGCACTGTAGGCTCATCACTGGACTGCAAACAGGGACAGCGGTTCAAATCCAGCAGCTGCTCTTCGGAAACCAGATACAAGGTTTCTATATGAGTCAGGACTGACTCAACAGCACATAACAACAACAATAACAGGGTACACCCATGATGGACAAGTTTTAACTGAGCTTCCAGAATAAGACAGACTAGGAAGAAGGAGAGATGGGCTACTTCTGAATGTTTAGCCACTGAAAACCTTCTGAATAGCAGTGGAACACCATCAGGACTAGAATACTGAATACTGAAACATAGTAAATAGCATCAGAATACTGTCATATATAGTACCGGAAGATGAGTCCCTCAGGTTGAAAGGCACTCAAAATATGACTAGAATTGCCACAAATACAGTAAAGCTTTCAGGACCTTCATTTGCTGATGGGGCACAACTCAAAATGAGGAGGAACAGCTGAAAACATCCACTGATAATTGGAACACGGAACGTATGAAATATGAATTAAGGAAAATTGGAAGTTGCCAAAAATGAAATGGAATGCATCAAGAACATCATATAAGAATAAAGCAAAAGGTCACTAAGAAGACAAAAAAGAAACAAAAGACCAAAATGGATGTCAGAAGGAGTCTCTGAAACTTGCTCTCCAGTGTAGAGATGCTAAAACAAATGATTCTTCATTTGTCAGAGTCAAATAGGAAATTTCAAAAGGCAACTCTAGAAGACAAGACAAAGTCAAGTATTACAACAAAATGTACAAAGGCCTGGAGCTAGAAAACCAAAAGGAAAGAGCACACTCAGCATTTCTCAAGCTGAGTGAACTGAAGAAAAAAATTCAAGCCTTGACATGCAATACTGAAGGAGTCTATGTGCAAAATATTGAATGATGCAGAAAGCATGCAGAGAAAATAGAAGAAATATACAGAATGACTGTACCAAAAAGAAATGAAGGATGTACAATCATATCAAGAGATAGCATATGATTAAGAGTCAATGGTACTCAAAGAAGTCCAAGGTTCGCTGAAGGCACTGGCAAAGAACAAGGATCCAGGAATTGAAGGAATACAAATTGAAACGTTTCAACAAACTGATGTATCACTGGAGGCACTCACTCATCTATGTCCAGAAATCTGAAAGACAGTTACCTGGCCAACTAATTGAAAGAGACCCACATTTGTGCCCATTTCAAAGAGACATGATCCAACAAAATGTGAAAAAAAACGAGACAATGTCATTACTATCACATGCAATTAAAATTTTGCTAAAGATAATTCAAAAACAGCTGCAATAGTACATTGATGGGGAACTGTCAAAGGTTCAAGCCAGATTCAGATGAGGATGTGCAACAAGGGATATCAATGCTGACGTCAGATGAGATCTGGCTGAAATCAGAGAATACCAGAATGATGTTTACCTGTGCTTTATTGACAACACGGTGGAGAATGAGTATTACAGAACATGTAATTATGCTCATGAGGAATCTGTACACAGACTAAGAGGCAGTAGTTCAGACAAGACAAGGGAACAATGAATGATTCCAAATGAGGAAATGTGTGCCGCAGAGTTGTATTCTTTCACCATACTTATTCAAACTGTACACTGAGTAAATAGCTCAAGAAGCTGGCATTAGATTGGAGGAAGGCTCAATAACAATCTGTAATATGCAAATGATTAAACCTTTGCTTGCTGAAAAGTAAAGAGGACTTAAAATACTTGTTATTAAGATCAAAGACCACACAGCATTCAGTATGAGTTGTACCTCAATGTAAAGAAAACAAAAATCCTCACCACTGGACCTGTAAATAACATCAGATAAATGGAGAAAAGATTGAAGTTATCAAAGACTTAATTTTGATTGGCTCCACCATCAACAATAATAGAAGCAGCAGTCAAAAAAAAATCCAATGATGTATTTACATTAGGCAAAGCTGTTGCACAAGACCTCTTAGAAGTGTTGAAGAGCAAAGATGTGAGTTTGAGGACTCAGGGGTGCCTGACCCAAGCCAAAATATTTTCATTAGTTTCATATATATGTGAAAGTTGGACAGTGAATAAAGAAGACTATAGAAGCATCAATGTGCTTAAGTTATGGTGTTGCAGAATATTAAAGAATACAATGGACTGTCAGGAAGAACGAACAAATCTGTGTTGGCAGAAGTAACAGCAAGAATGCTTGTAGAAACCAAGATGACAAGACTCTGTCTCTCACACTTCAGACATATTATCAGGAAGGACCAGAGTCTGTAAAGAAGGATATCATGTTGGGTAAAGTGGTAGGCCAGTGAAAGAGAGAAAGCTCCCCAATGAGCTGGACTGGCATAGTGGCAGCAGCAAAGTGCTTAAGCTTAACAATATTTTGAGGATGACAAAGGACTGGGTACATTATTTGGTTCTGTTGTGCTTCGGTTGCTATGAGTCGGAATTGACTCATTGGCACCTAACAATGTACAGGGGGGGGGGGGGGGGGGGCAAAAAAAAAAAGCATTCCCTAATTTCTCTTGAAAAAGAATATAGGGAAAAGGATGTGTTTTCATTTTGGCATCAAGAATCTCTCCAAGCACAAGAAGAATAAATACATGACCCTGAAGCATGGAATTTAGACTTGTAAGATAAACACTGGACTGGTAACCACAAGGTCAACAGTTCAAACCCACCAGCTGCTCTTACAAACCCTACAGAGTTGCTATGAGTTAGAACTGACTTGGTGGCACACAACAACAACTAAAGGGACAAGACCACTGTATACAAGACCAAGTGGCAGGCCCAACTCTCTCCATCTTGACAACCATGTTTACTAGTATCACTGGTTCCCACTAGTCCAATTCAAAAGAAGCCCCAAGTTTAACAAACTGTGGATAGCAGTGAAAAGAATGGAATTCTAGCATACTTAATTGTGCACAGACCAAAGGGTAAACAGAACAAGGAGATTCTGGGTCATTTAAAATCAGGAAAGGTTGTGTCAGGGCTTTCATTATGCTTATTCAACCTGAATACTAAAAGAAAATCATCAGAGAAGCTGGACTATACAAAGAAAAATGTGGCACCAGGATTGGAAGAAGACTCATTAATAATGCAATATGCAGATGACACAACTCTGCTTGCTGAAAATGAAGAGGACTTGAAGCACTTCCTGATGAAGATCAAAGACTACAGTATTCAGCATAAATTATAGCTCAACATAATGAAAACAAAAATCCTTACGACTGGACCAACAAATATCATGATACACAAGTATGTACTGAGGTTGTCAAGGTTTCATTCTACTTGAATGCACAATCAACTCTCATGAAAGTAGTACCAAGAAATTAGGCAGCATATTGCACTGGGCAAATCTGCTGCAAAATACCTCTTTAAAAGTGTTAAAGAGATACCACCTTGAGACTAAGGTGCGCCTGACCCAACCCATGGCGTTTTCAATTGCCTCACATACATGAGAAAGCTGGACCATGATTAAGAGAAGAATCCACGCATTTGGGTGAATTACGATGTTGTGACCTTGCCTCACACACTTTGGACACATTATCAGAAGGATTCCGTCCCTGGAGAAGACTAATGTGCTTGGTCAGCAAATAAAAGGTAGACCTTCAACAAGATGAATTGATACAGTGGCTGCAACAATGAGCTCATCCGTAACATTTGGGAGGATGGAGCAGAACTAGGCAGTTTTGTTCTATTGCACATGGGATTCCTATGAGAGGGCTTCAAAAAGTTTGTGGGGAAATCCCATTATCTTTTCATTCTATTTCCCCACAAATTTTTTTCAATTCCCCCTCATATGAGTCAAAAGTGACTCAACTTCATCTAGCATCCTCTTTCCCAGGATGTCATGTCCAGTTCAATGCCTCAGAGTCCTAAGCACTCCTCTCCCTAGGCATTGAAGAGAACCTAATGTCCCCTGCCTGTACTCATCAGGGCAATTCAGTTTCTAAATGCTAAAAAACCACCGACCTCGGCTCAGGCCATCAGGGCCCCGCAGTATCCGGCACTCTTCAATCTGTCCAAATGAAGAGAACATGACTCGGATGTCATTTTCAGTGCACTTCTTGGAAATCATACCAATAAACAGCTTCCTGTCTTCCACTGCTAGAAAGTAAAACACAAAAGGCTTAAGCATCATTACTAAAGAAGGAGGAACAGTAGACTAAGGAATCAGTCCACAGAGGTTTGAATCCTGGTTCTGTATCTTTATATCGTATTTCACTGATTCTAAGATACTCAAATTTTTTTTCCTTCATAACTTAATAGGTTTGAAATCATAACACTTCTTAAAATCAACAGAATCTTAAAAGCACAATTAGCAATAGTTTTGTGATCCTGTGAAAATTATTTAACCTTTCTGTCCTACTTCTTCAGCTGACCAATAGGGACAATCAACAGCTGTTCTATATCAAGTGAGTTAATACACGCAAAGTGTTTACTACCTTGCCTAATACTTAGCAAGGTTTGTTCCTACTTGTAATATCCTTCTAAAGAAGAATGTGGTTTTCATACTTAATTGATATGACAAGAGGAGCAGAACACAGCTTTCAGTGAATGCAAGCACCAACTTTCATTTTCTTATTATTCTTCTCTGGGCAAAGTTCTTTCCAAACTTGCACATTACCCTCCTCACCTCTGTCCTTAAGATACGATATTTCTCAAGGGCATTCCAGTTTGTTCCAAACTGTTGCAATGTTTTCCTATCAACTATGTTTCTCAGACTTTATTTTACAAAGAAAAAGAAAAACAATTGAGTTGACTTATTACTTAGAGCACAGCGCAATTCAGGTGCCATGAAAAGAGTGAAATAGGAAGACACCATAGAAGAAGAGGGTTAATATACCAACTTACCATTGTTCTTCTCACTGTCTGCAGGTTTCATCTGTATAGGGTGATGCATCTATGAAGGAAAAAAAAACTATTATCACTATACATGCTATAGGCATTCAAAAATACTACACCAAGCAGTTATCAAAACTAGAGTTTTAAGAGTTGTCGCTGAACTCTTACCTATGTCATTGTCATGCATGATCTTTCTTCCCAATTTTCAAACAAGAAATTTAGTGAGTTAAGAAGTTAAATACCTAAGACTCTTCACTGAGAGATATTTTTCTGTCTTCTTTGAAAACCTCCCAATATATGCTCCAGAGTCCTGGTGTGGCACTACAGGATAAGCACTGGACCGAAAGGTCAGTTTGAACTGCAAGGTCTGCAGTTCAAACTTACCAGTCACTCCTCAGAAGCCCTACATGGGGTCACTATGAGTCGGAAATGACTTGACAGAACTTAGCAACAATATATGTGCTCCCGTTGATCAATTCCTCAGAATGATTTGCAATGCATGCCTGATAAGAATGTTCCATTTACAAGTAGGAGCTTTCTTACCCCTGGCAGGACCTTCATGTTATGGAGAGCATTCTGAGCTTCTAATGCAGCTTTACGGGTGTAAAACGTAACAAAACAGCACCCTGCAATAAATAAGATTTCACACAATCAAAGCATTGCTTTGAAAACGAACAATTCCTAGATCACTCCTCCCTCCACTGACACGCTGGAACTTAAACAGTTAGTCCCCCCCACCCCCAACCAAAAAAAACCCCAAATTTTTAATTTTCAATTTTTGTGAAAATTGAAAAGATCCAACTGCATTATTCTCTATGCATGTTATTTTTTGTTATAGTCTCCTCTTAGTTCTAGTAAAATGCACCTTTAGCTGCTCTTGGACTTATCTTCTTAGCCCTATGGCATAGTGGATAAGCACTGGGCTGCTAACCGCCAAGATCTGCGGTTCAAACCCACTAGCTGGTCTATGAGAGAGATGAAGCTATAGGATCCCATGAAGATTAGTCTTAGAAATCCTAAGGAACAGTTTTGCCTCTACTGTATCCTCCCCTCTAGGGTTGTTATGAGTTGTTCTGGTTTTGGTTGAGTAATTTCTCTGGAAAACACGACTTTCCTTACAAATGTCGCAGTACTCCCTCCAACCACCCTAACTTGATATACAAGTTAGAATGCTGGGTAAGAAATACCAGCTATAAACAATCTTAGTCTACCAGAAGCTCTATCTTTCCCTGCTCTCTCAGAACAACTCTCTGGCCAAGTTCTACTACATGTCTCAAACAGAATGATTACTTATTAAATTACAAAATGACTTAAGAGTAAGAAGCTATTAAGGTCTTTTTTTTTTTAATGGACCCTTGGTTCTCTCTCATCAATATACGTGTAAGCTTCTAACAATATCACATTAACACTGGAATCTGTTGATTTTGTGCTTTGTATCTTTATTGTTGGGAGTCCTGGCGTGGCGCTGTGGGTTAATGCACCAGATTGCAAAGCTGTCTGAACTGCAAGGCTGGTGGTTCAAGCTCACCAGCTGCTCCTCAGAATCCCTATACAGGGCTCACTATGGGTCAGAATCTACTTGAGGGCACTTCACAACATCTTTATTGTTGATGGGAGGAGGGGAAGTACATCTTGTAAATCATGAACTTCAATGTGGTGATACATATTTTCATAAGTGGTCATATAGACTTTTCAAAATCACACTGCAGTTACAATATTAAATTACTACATGTTATTACTGCTAGTCATTTTCAGAATGACTTGATGTATAACTATGCTACAAAGAGAGAAATAACTCCTATGCTTCTAGACATCTCTGCTATTAAGCTCATTCCAGACATGATAATCGTGCTTGCTCACATTTGTGCTATAAAACAGCTTTCACATCAAATTACTCTGAAACTGGTCATTTGGAAAAAACAGGGAAAAAGAAAATGTCCTAGGGCACTACAGAACAACCCCCTCCCTCCATCTCTAGGGATAAAGTTAATGTGTCATCTATACATCAGTCCTGTGAAATTTCAATTCTGCTGGGTATTTCTGGATGCAGCTCGGCCTTTCTTCTATGAATTGTGTAGGTTCCTATCAACAGGATGCCTACCCACACAAAAGTTCCTTCTAGTTTATCAGCCACCCAGCAAGGTCTCCAAAATAATAAAAAGAGAGCCATGTACACATACAGACTCTCTCTCTTGTTCAGCTTACCCTAGCTGAAACACTTTCTGTGGCAACTTTCTGTGGTTGGTTTACTTCAGTGTATTTGTGACACTCCATTCTCAAGATACAAAGAGACACACACACAGGAGTCCGTCTGTTGAATTTACAGCTCTTTGGCAAAGGGCTGCCCAAGACCAAATTTATAAATTCCCCTCACAATGTCACCTTAACTTTTAATTTGTGTTTGGACTAGAAACTACAGCTACTAGAAAAGGACATTTCCCCCTTTATGACCACAGCAGTTTCCTGGCAATTAAAGACAAGATACACATGGCAAATATATACCAAAATATGTGTGATATGCCCCAAACCCTCACCTTTGCTCTGAGGAGGGTTTTGGCTCCTATCCCTTAGGACATTGATTTCATAGACAGCACCGTACTGTTCGAAGAGTTCCCTCAAGTCTTTCTCAGACCAGGTCCTCGGAACCTGGCCCACAAACATCTTGATAGCATCAAGATCTGGTTGATCTGGGTGATCCAGGGTGCCGTTCATTTTCTTTGAGCTGCGTGAAATAAAATGAAATTTCTATTATATTCATGCTACTTTCCAGAGGAAGAAATTCTTTCTTTAAAGAGCTCAATTACTTCCTGAGAAAGAAAAAAAAAAAAAAAAAGAGGAAAACTTGTTATACTTCTTTAATAAATTCATATGTTTTCAAGAGGGGCCAGAGGAACAATATGAGGGGACCAGAACACGAACAGTACCCTTTCTATCTCTCCACTAATTCTATCTGTTCAAGGGCAAACCCGCACGCACTCTTTAACCTACCATTTCATGCTTGGAATGGAGAAACAGAAGAGAAAATGTCCTAGGACATCCCACTCCCACACCTCTGTTGTTGTTGGGTTGGTTATGACGTATAAAGTCTGTATAGTGTTTCCAAGGAACAGCTGGTGGGTTTGAACTGCTGACGATGTGGATCACAGTTTAGTGTAGACTTTACAGCGCCACACCAGGAGTCCCCCACCCCTAGAAGTACCTTTACAGAGAATGCAATTCCATCAGATGAACTTACAGTTCTCTTCCACTACTTAAATCTAATTTGCCAGAATTCCCAGATCCTTTCTCACACGATACTGCTTCCATTTGGGCATAAACTATCATCATTCTTATTAGCAACTGATATGCATTCCTTGTCTAGCATGAGAATCACAAAAGAACTTAAGAGACTAAAGTTCCTAAAGAAAGATCATGATTTAATAATTCTTATGCAAAATTAACAAAACAGAATCCTTTTTTTTTTTTTTTAATGACCATAAATATCACATAGGACTAGGGTAAGATTCAGATCTCTTCAATGTATATGAGGAATGTTAGAACAGAAGGACTTGATTCTGAAAGCCCTTATCTCCTGAGTAAACCTAAATGACCTTGCACTGGGCCCCTAGACAAAATCAAAGCTTTCCCTCTTAAACTGCCACACATAATTCCGATAAACATAAATAAGTTGCTGTCATTCTAGCTTTTTTAAGTACCCAGTTTACTGGGTTTTCTTTTCTTGGGTGATTTTATCAGTTGAAATTCCTTATTAACCACAAATTTCATTACAATGTCTACAAATATCTCCAAACCCATCACATAAATGTTAGGAGGGAGAGGGGGGTTCTTACACACTATAAATGTTTCTACTCAGGAACCATCTCTAAGTCCTTATCTGACCACTGTAACCTCATGTGACAAGAGTGTTGTTGTTAAGTGCCATCGAGTCAGTTCTGACCCACAGTGACCCTATGTACAACAGAATGAAACACCGCCCAGTCCTGCGTCAGCCTCACAATTGTTGCTATCCTTGAGCCCATTGTTGCCACTGTGCCAATCCATCTCGTGGGGGTAGGGGGTGGGGGTGGGAGTCACCCTATTTTTCCCTGTATCTCCACTTTACCAAGCATGGTGTCCTTCTCTAGGGGATTGGTTCCTCCTGACAGAGTCTAAAGTATGAGAGACAAAGTCTGGCCATCTTGACATCTAAGAGCATTCTGGTTGTACTTCATCCAACACAGATTTGTTCTCCTGGCAGTCCATGGTATCCTTCATATTTTTCTCTAATACCATAACTCATATGTATCAATTCTTCTACGGCCTCCCTTATTCACCGTCCAACTTCCGCATACATATGAGATTATTGAAAATATCATGGCTTGGGTCAGGTGCAACTTAGTCCTCAAACTGACATCTTTGCTCTTCAACAATTTAAATAAGTTTTGTGCAGCAGATATGCCTAATGCAGTATGTCGTTTGATTTCTTGATTGCTGCTTCCATGAGTGCTGATGGTGGATCCAGTCTTTGACAACTTCAATCTTTTCTCCATTTATCATGATGTTATTTATTGGTCCAGTTCTGAGGACTTGTGTTTTCTTTACATTGAAGATCAAAGACCACAACAACCAATACTGAAGACAGTGGTCTTTGATCTTAATCAGTAAGTATTTTACGTTCTCTATGCTTTTAGCAAGGAGCCCTGGTCTGGCACTGCGGGTTAACGCACCAGACGACAAAGCCGTTTGAACTGCAAGGTCGGCAGTTCAAGTTCACCAGCTGCTCCT